ATCGTCGAAAAGGATATGCCTAGGATCAAACTTGTCTGCACCGTCGATCCACTGAAATAAAAATCACCTCTCATGGTCCTACACAACGAGATTCCAACAAAATATTAGTAGCATCCTTACACAAATAAAGAAAAAGGATAGTGGAAACATTTTTTTATATTAAAACGACTGCATGTGTAGAAGCAACGCGCCGCTGTGTCCGGATGTTTCGATTGAAAAACATGGGCCGAGAAACCACAGTCACAGTTAGGGACAGGGAGTTCAGGAGGGACGGGGGCATCTTTGCTAGACGCGTCGGGTATAATTCTCGAGGACGACCCCGTTTTCGCCAAAACTCCTTTCGAAACATTTTTTGCATCTAACAAAACGGATGTAATTTAACAAATATAAATCAAAACATCACAAATAAATATCAATGAGAACCATAACTATAATACAACCAATTTCGTTCTAAGAACCGAAAGCAGTTAACATTAAACCTTAAACCTAGGGTTTCTCATTTGATGCGCAACAATGAACCCATAACATAACTACATGCGCCTAGGTTTGCTAGCTTTTTCACACCTTGGTATCATCCTACGGTTGAATAATACATATATTGAGGGATACAATGAAACCCCAAGTGATGACGATTATTACGTTCAAAAATCCGACTAATATATAACGAATCGATGCGAAAAAACTAGGAGGGGAGCGATGATACCTTACTCTCGAAGATCTATGGATCAAATCATGGTTTTCAAGGTCCAATATGCCGGTTCGTGAGGTAGGGTGAAATGGGGAGAGAAAAAACCCGAGAGAGGAGAAAGAAGAGGAAGAACGCTTGAGCAGGAAAGTTGGGCTAGGGTTAAATGGCAGGGAGCTCGGCGCCAGTCACTTTGGCGCCGAGCTCGACGCCAAGATCTACGGCGCTGAGCTCGGCGCCAGAGTGACTGGCGCCGAGCTCCCTGCCATGTCATCCACCGAGCCCAGGACCTTGGCGCTAGGGACGCTGGCGCCGAGACGTGTTAGCTCGACGCCAGCATCAATGACGCCGAGTTAAGAGTTCATTTTCTGAATTCTTTCCTTCAGGGGGTCTATTTATGAGAAACTTCTAAAAAAAGATTAAATTGTAAAAAATTCAGACGCCGAAACGACCACACGGACAAAGCATAAACAAATGGTTTGCCTCAGGCCTTGTTTAGATTGGGGTTAGGAATCAGTATTTGGCACTGTAGCACTTTTGTTTGTATTTGACAATTATTGTCCAATCATGGCCTAACTAGGCTCAAAAGATTCGTCTCGTAATTTACAATTAAACTGTGTAATTAGTTATTTTTTTATCTACATTTAATACTTCATGCATGTGAGAATGAAAAAAACTTGCAATCTAAACCAGACCTAAGTAAAGACTACTACTGTAGCAGCCTTGTGACTTGTGAGTTGATGGTTTCTTCTTATCGTGATTGATGGTTTCTTTCTCTGAAGAACGTTCCTGTGATGAGAACTGTCGCGCCTTCAGATAGCTGATGCCGGCGAGGTGGCAGTGAGATAGGACATCAAGGGCCAGAACATCTTGAGGCTTTTACTTGCTTGTAATTATAAAAGTCCGTAATTACCGACAAGTCATTAAAAAAAGTTAAGTTCTCACAGGTGCCACTGCTCTGAACTCTTTTGTTTTCCATGCCACTTCTGTCAGATTTGTCTCTAACGGTGTCAAACTACGGGTGTGAAAAATCGAAAATACCCTCAGATCTAAATATGCAATTATTTTTTTTAGCATCTTAATGATCTCAAATGAAAAAACTCAAAACTAGTATTTTTATAAAAACTATATTCATTTGATTCCGTACAAAAAATGTGATTTTTCTAAGACATTAATAATATCAAATCATATTTTTTTGTACAGAATTAAATGAAGATATTTTTATAAAAAAAATAGATATTGTCGAGATCTACAACTTTCTAGTTTTGAGTTTTTTTATTTGAGGTCATTAAGATACCTAAAAAATTAATTACATATTTAGAACTGAGGGTAGTTTGGACTTTTCACCGCCGCAGTTTGACACCGTTAGAGCCAAATCTGACGAAAGTGGCGTGGAGAGCAAAAGAGTTCACAACAGTGGCACCGGTAAGAATTCAACTTTTTTAATGACTTAGAGCATCTCTAAGAGTTTGTAAAATTTTACTTAGCAAATCTTGTGATTTGCCAACTCCCAAAATTATATGCCAAGTATAAAAACAATCCATCTCCAAGAGTTTGGCATTTTTGACTTGGTAAAATAAAAAAACCCGTTAACAAAACGAAGAGGCCCGCTAAGCGAACGAAGAGCCCCGCTAAGAAACGAAGAGCCCCGGATGCCAAGCCAATACACGCGTGCATATTTGCCAAGTTGCTATTGATGCCAAGTTGTTTTGCCAAACTGTTGGAGGCTATTTTTTCTTGTTTTACCAAAATTATATAGATGTCAAGTTGAGATAACAAACTCTTAGAGATGCTCTTATAAATAATTCCTAACTTTTATAATAACACACGGATAAAAACCTCCATTCCTGCTCGTGTGCTCAGCGTATGATCAAGTGGCCAATTGAGCATCTTGCCGTCGGATTCCATGAGCCACGGTCGCATCCTCCATCATTATCTTGCCATCGTCACTGGTTTTCTTGCACGTTACTCATTCTTCGATCAATGTGAAGAACACCCGTGTCTCATCTTGTGGCCGATTAACCACCGGACAGAGCAAAGTGCCAATTAGGACTATAGAGCAAGGCGAAGCGAATGATACAAATAATTGTCTGTACAGTGTACATATATACTAGCCCTATGTGTGAGAGAAAAAGAACAAAAAGACATATATCTACTAAGAGGTGTTTGAAAGTTTAGTTCCTGTCACGGTGGATGTTTGACACTAATTTAGAGTATTAAACATAAATTAATTATAAAACAAATTGCATAGATTGAGATTAATTTACGAGGCGAATCTATTATGTCTAATTAGTCCGTGATTTAAACATGTGCTAATGATGATTAATTAAGCTTAATAGATTCGTCTCATAAATTAGGCTTCATCTATGCAATTAATTTTATAATTAATTAATTAATTAATTAATGTATAGTCCTTCTAATTAACGTCCAGATGTCCAGTATGACAGTGATAAACTTTCCCCCTAATTGATTATCATTACTACGTTGGGCTGGCAATCTGACCCCATTAATTAGGCATTATTACGTTGAAGAGTTCATTCAGACGTTTTGCGCCGACTTGCCGAATTTGGTGCCAGACGGAGACGGCAGGCGCCAGACTCGAGCTCGCGTTGTCGCGCGTCCGCCCTCCGCCGTCCGTTTCCCTACCGCCGCCGCCCGCGCCCCTGCCCACAAGTCCCGTCCATGCCTCTGCTAGGCGCCGTTGCTCAAGCGCCGCGAGATTCAAATACTTTCGTCTCGGCGGCTCCCTTCCCGTCTCCCTTCCGCATCCACCGGCTCCAACTCTCAGATGAGTTCCTCCTCCGACGGTGTGTACCCCCTCGCTCTTGCAGTCTCCCTCCATCCTATTGCTCTGTTCTCCTCACAGTGGCTTGCTCAGGGCAAGGCAGGACGGCTAAACTGCCGGCTAGGTTCGACTATCGGGCTGGTCGACAAAACATCGCCATTAGTCGATTAGTCATCTGTTCGGTCCTACCAGTAGGCTCGACTAGGTGATTTGATAACATTGGCACTACTCTAATCGTACTCTCACAACTAGAAACACAGGCGCGGCTTTGCCGCGCCCTCGTTGGAGTGAATGAGCTGTGTTCAGACTTTTCTTTCCATATCTCTCAAACTTCTTGGTATTTTTTGATAATATTTTGAGTACGAATGTTTATCCTTTCTAAATGTGCCTGCAAGAAAGACATGCATATGTTCTTTTTTCAGAATCAGTTTATATAAGAAAAGGCATGATATATCATATGTCATTATACCTTGTCCAAGTTAATATGGCCTACAATAGTTGGAAGAGGTTGAAAACTTCAGATGTTCCATGTAACCTTATTTGCTTCTGATGCGTGAAAATGTAAACAAAATATTTGTGGTGTGCAGCCCTATTGATAAATAGGTACAAAAGCCTGGACCACAAGAGCATCCTACATCTATTCCCACTTTGTGCAGGGTATGCTTGTTTTCAGGTTTTCGGGCAACAATGTTTGCTTGAGTAAGTAGGTCTCTTTGACCCAGTTGCATAAGTAAAAAAATGAAGTGCTAGGTTGATCTGTTTACTTAACAATTGCACAACAATCTCACTGGGAAATCGGAGGACTAAGGATTAAGGAGGCTCAATATGCATATTGGCGTACCCAGTGCAGAGAGCTCCGCTCTGTGCGGGGTCTGGGGAAGGGTGTCAGTGGCAAGCCTTACCTCGCTTGTGCAATGCGAGGAGACCGCGACTCGAACCCGGGACCTTCCGGTCACAGGCGGTAAGACTCTACCGCTTGCACCAGGCCCGCCCTTCTTCAATATGCATATTGCCAGGTGCTATATTATTTGAGCTATTCAATTTCAATTCAGGCTAGATGGAACATCTAGATGTACATCTAATACTCCACCCTTGTCAGTTTTGGACAAGTATTGAGCCTATTTGCTAATGAAATACAGTAGAGAAGGTAAAGGTAACTGCAGTGAAAATGCCATCACTTAGCTGCTAACTTGAGTCAATGCTCTCTATGTTAACTCTCTAAATTGCCATCGTTGCTAGGAATGCTAGCTGAGCAGTGGTCGGACCAGTAGGCCAAGAAGCACCGGCGTGGTGTGATGGTGTCCCCTCGCCGTGCAGGCGGCCACAAGACTCAGGCACACGCTTGTGGTCGGACCATCAGGCCAAGAAGCACCAGGCACATGCGGCGTAGGCAGGTGATGGTTGCGGCAAGCCAGGCACACACCTAGAAGTCCAGTGATGCCGCGCACTGAATTGGAGGCAGCGTGAGATATGGGACGAGGAGCTGGCCGCGGGAAGGGGAAGGGAATCCGGGTCAGGCGAACGGGGTCGATGGCGGTGCGGAAACAGGAGGGCAGAGGATGGCGAGCGGCGAGGGCTGTGGGGCGGAGGCCGGCCGGCCGGCAGCAAGCGCTTTCGGCGCGGCAGGAAGGGGAAAAATCAGGATCGAGTCCTAGCCTTCGTGAGGATTCGCGACGTTCCAGGGCGAGAGACAAAACGCTGGAAACACCAGCAGTTGATTTGCCTGCTTTTCTACCGCCCGATCAAAATCCAAGGGCTGAGAAAAAAGATCGACGTGGCCCAATGGGAGGCCTGAGCTTGGCCCTCATTTCGTCTTATAGAGATAAGAAGGTATTATAGACCTTGACATATATTTAGTTGAATCTAATCTAAGATTAAAAAATAGGGAGAATACTGATACATTACAGTTACATCTTTCCATCTCCTGTTTTTAAAGTAAACTTTTCTTAACATAGTAACCATTCGTGTAATTTAATTACATCGCTAATAATTTGTATGTACCAATTTGGGCTCTCAGCCAGTCTTCCTGTAGCATTTATATATATACTCACTGTTTCATCCATTCCTTTCCTCTGATGATTCACACTATATATAATATAAATTCATAGTAGAAGTCTTCCTTAGATTCAATAGTACATCCACTCTGTTTGTGTAACTCAAGTATGTCTTGGTAGGGTTCCCTATATGCAATAAATGTTTTAAAAATGAGTTATCATGGGCAATATTTATCAGTTTTAGAATAGTGCTTGATCAGAGAATATTTATTTTCTTGATGGTTCACATTAAAACATATGTCTAAAAAGTTATTGTTTCTTCTCTTCCTGTAGCTCCATAAAGTTTGACATTTGGTCTCATCAAATAATTGCTCTCAATATAGGCCTGTACTAAGATAGTGCATGATCCAGCCAAGGAGCTATGATGTATTACAATTTAACTCTGAACTTGCATGGCAATTTTGATAGCTAGCGAGTCCTGTGTTGAAGTAGACTTGATCCTTTTTAAGATGTCATACTGAAAGTTAGGAGCAATTAACAACACTGAAAAAAGACTGCAAAGTGATTCAAACCAATTACATGTTCATAGAGCTAATATTTACTTTCTCATCGTAGCAAACCAATGTACTATCCCTAGGCATATAGGCACATTGATTTAACTAATGTCACTCACTTGGATTCAATAGTGCACCACATACAGAGAACTCACATATAAACTTTGCAATATGTAGTTATAGTTAATACGATATCTGCAGTCCTACAATTCAATTAAAAACAGGAACTGAATCAGTTGGAAACATTTCAACGTTTCATATGAATGATCTGGAGACATATGTCCTTTTCAGATGGATACCTGTCTATGAAGTTATAAAGTCTTATGCTCTGTTGTTCATTGTTTATGGTTGCCAATTGATATGCTTCCCTCTTGTTCAACATTATATTTTGTAAAAGAAGTATTGCTCATATCACACGTTACTACTTTAAAATCATGCCATACATTTTACATCCATAAAGTTTAAAAGTGACATCTATATTGCGCCTACAATGTTGAGAAAAGGCAGTTAGTGCACCTCCCATGCTTTGAACTCCAACCTTCATCTCACATAACTCAAAACAAGTTGGATAAAATGGGCAGTCATTATGAATATTGATATTTCCGCTCTTGCCTTTTAACTTAATATTTATCTTATTTATTCTTGATGTTTTGAACCAGTGATTCATGTGAATGACTGTGTTGCTTAATCTTAGATGTGTACATATGTAGCAGAAGACCTGCGTGCTACTATTGATATTGATCAATCACATATCAGGCTCAAGAAAGCTGTTCTATTTCACTCTACTCCACCTGGAAAGCTGGTGCTGTAATTTACATTGTAAGTTCCTTTATTCCAGGCATTCAATTAGGTCTATATTATCACACAATTATTCATACAAACTGTTTTTCTGATCTTACTTTTTGTATGATGAACTTATTTGTCACTTCATCACAACTGTTAATATTAAGTGAATGAAGTAGTAATATTGAGAGGTTGAAGATTGTTAACCTGGATTGGAAGCTCATATCTATAATACTATAGCTGTTAAAATTATTTCAACACATAAGTAAAACACAGTATGGAATTTCAGTGAAGATGCATAATTTTACAAGTTGGGTTTTAATAACTGCCTCCAGGTTGTTCCCTGGCTGGCGCATTTCCTGTTTAATTTGCCCCACTGCCAGATTAGACTGGCATGGTAAGCACAGGTCTTGCCTGCTAATTCTCTTATTGTGTATGTAGTTGTGTTGCTTGTCTATTGTTCTACACCTAGCTATGTGATGAAAGGGAAGATGCCTCCTAAATCTGCCTTGGGTTCATGATCCTTTGGGGCTTTAGTCTTCCTTGCCTTGGCGTGTATTAAACCCTGGCACTTCTGGTGCCTTGCCTTATTCTAGAATCACTGTTCGTTTTATGGCTTTAAAAAATGTTCTACACTTTTCTTGTATCAGTCGGTACTTGTTGAATCCGATTCATCTCATTAGTTGCTCATTCTGTATTACAGATGAATACTTACTGTTACTGAATGTTTTTACCATACTACTGCTTCTGATCAAATTACCTATTTCAGAATGATAAATTCATATTCTGAACAAAATGGAAATTCATTGTAGTCAGCTTTTGCTCTCGGGTTAGGGTTGTTGGATGGGAGTGAATGCGTGTGGTGCTGTAGACTATGTACGGCCAGCTTGAAAAGGAAGATAGCTAACCTTGATTTACCAAATATCAGTTTTATGTCAAAAGTGTTGGTTTCCTTGTCCTCTTAGATCTTTCATTGGCAAATGGAATGTCTTTGTCTGTAACTGTAAAACCTGCACCCTTTTCAGGTAAAATAGCTGTAAATTTCTGCACCTTTTTTAGGTGACAATATGGATTACGACCCTAGCTGCACCTCTCCAAACCCCTACGGTGGCGGTGGTGGAAGCATCCATCTGGTGTGCCAGGAATGCCTCAACGGGGACAACTACAACACCGACGATGCTGATGACGGCTTCTTCACATGCCGTAGATGCTTTGCCAGGCACCCCATGCAGGCAACTGCTGCTGACCCCCATGACTTCCCCACCACTGGCAACATCTATGTCCGCCGCGTCGCCACTCAGCCCACCCCCAAGCTTGGCACCCGCACCCCTGCATCTTACACAAGGACCCCTCAGGCTGTCGCTGTGTTCAACGACTTTGTGGAGCCGAGCAAGCCACGGGACTTCGCGCCCAGCGGCAGCGTGTGGGGGGAACCCAAGGATTTGGCGGCGCAGGTCCGCTTGTGCTATGTGCAGGGCCTCCAGGTCATCCTGCAGCGGCAGCTGGAGGCGCTGGTGGAGCAGCACCGGGTAGCTGCACTTGTGTGTGCTGTCGCTGGCCCTGTCTGGGTGCGGTGGGTCGCTGCATCCAAGGTGTGTGATGAAACGTGGGTGCGCCAGGCGCTTGCGGACCATGAGGCCACGGGGAAGGAGAAATGTTCTGGTGGTGGAGGTGAGCGTTTATGCTCGCCCTTGTTAGGTACTGCCATCGGATGAACTGAACAAACTTGACATGAACCTATCTCTTGTTTGCAGATATCAAGAAACCTGGCGAGGTGAAGTATGAATGGGACGATGATATCTTGCCACAACAAAAGGACAGGTGCAAGGTGGAGTTTGCCTTTTTGCACTCATTGAGGATGATGCTGCCGCTTTACTCAACATTGGCCATTTGTTTCTTGGCCTGTCATATTGCTCGTGAAGCCATCATGCCAAGCGACATTTACAGGTGGGCAATGGAGGGCAATGTCCCTTATTTGGCTGCATTTACTGAAGTTGACACGTTCCTTGGGAGCTCTTTGCAAGACTGCCCTTTTGATGCAAGGCAGCTGTTCAGGCCAGTGCGAGTTATTGGAGCATGGCAACTGGAAGCTGCAGCTGGATCCATAGCACAAAAAGTAGGCTTGGATCTTCCTCCAGTTAACTTCTATGCAATTGCTCAACGTTGCTTGAAGGACTTGTCGCTGCCTATAGATAGAATCCTCCCCCATGCATGCCAAATTTATGAGTGGGCAATGCCTGCAGAACTATGGTTGTCCAGTAATCCTTCTAGAATCCCTACGCTGGTTTGTGTGATGGCTATCCTAATTGTGTCTCTACGAGTTATGTATAACATCAATGGTCAAGGGATATGGGAGGTGTGTTTGCCACATAGATTACCTTTCCTTAACTCATCTAAGCTCATATGACCTGAGTAACCTTTCTTTGCAGAAGATTTGCGAGGAAGGAAGAAACACAATTGGATCTTATCATGATGCAAATTCACCAACTTTCAGGAAGCATGAGGCCAGTAACAGCGAGGAGTTTGTTGTGAGAGAATTATTGTGTGCTATTGCAGCTGCCTATGATATAATTAATGTGGCACATGATAAATTCTAATGGCCATTGCCTTGTATCCACATTATGTTTATCTTGTAGTACACCTCTTAGCTTGTGGCATGCTTATCCTGACTGTAGGTAGTTTATATTCAACTTGCTGTACTAAATTAAGTATAAATGGTTGTTTGCATATTTCACGTCTGTTAAAGCTAAGACTGCAACACATGTTTTTCATAACTTAACAAAATATTCATGTGCCTTCTAGTCATGCCTTAACGTAATACCGTTAGCATCTAGTTTGCTTCCAAGCACAAACAGAGCAAACTGATGGAGAATTATGGGATTGTTTTATTTTAGTGAAAATATTATTATGACTAATTTACTGGCATTTTTGTATTCTAGTCTATATTTGGATAAAGTTACAATGGTTTGACTGGACATATTCTTGGGTCTTTACTGACATGTTTGTGGCTAGACTGGGAGTACTTAATGGTGGGACACTCACTTGAAGTTTTCTAATTTTGCAGACTACTCGAGTGATCTCCACTCTTATCTCAAATACTGCAAGGAAGTAATTTTTGCTGGGTTTACATGTTCAGATGAAGAGAAGCATCTAACAGAGATCTTTTGGGATATGTACAAAGCTAGAGAGGTATTGCATTTTGCTTGACAATGTTGTTACCTATATTACTTTTGCATGAGGTGGGTAAAATATTATATATGTAACTTTTAAGTTGTCCCATTATGGATTAATTGCTTTCCCTTATCATATTCTGGATTTCTGGTACAATTCTATGTAACCATGTAAGTTGTATTAATAACTTAATAAGTGCAGCACATCAACTAGGTTCTATCATGGCAATCTAGCTATCAACTTCCTGGAAAGATCCACAGAATGCAAATTTAATCTCCATGTTTGAAAAAACAGACAAAACAACCTGTGGGACTGGGGGTGGGGACTTCTATTCGCAGAAATTTTGTGGCACTTGTTTGTCAGCACAAATTCAGTTAAGATCTTTAACCTTGAAATTTTGTTATGGGCAGGATGTCAGTTAGGTTTAATTACAATAACATCATTCTAGTTCTTGCACAAATTTTGTTTCCCAACTGTGATTTTAAATACCTGCGGTGTTGCATTACAGGATGAGAATCCAAAAGGTCATGTAAAATCCCAAACTCATTGTATTGAAGAAATGACAATTACAAATGGAGTGAAGAAGCGCTACTGAGATGGGGCTTTTGTTGAAGCAAGTTGCTTTTCTGCATCTTCAGGGCATGATGCAATGCAAATGCTTAAGTCAGAGATGCATGATCATGGATTTCATTATATGCCACCTAGGAAACCAAGGCAATCAGATGGTTATCTTCGTTATAGAAGGAGGCGGCTAAATGCACATGCTGATTATTTCATGTTGCTACGCGCTTTTGCAAAGCTTGCAGAAGTTGATGTTCGTATCATGCATACCATTGTGTTAAAACTTGAGAGGAGACTCGCATGTATTGAGGAGCGAATTGAACGAAGCTTGAATACCTTACATAACCTCGCATCGCATGTAGGTGGGGAATAACAACCTGTTTTCTCAGTTCAAGACTCAACTGAGTTGTTATATTATGATTAATTTCAGGGTTTGCCTGAGAAAGAGCTCTATGTGTTTGTATCTCGTGCAAGGCTACGGTTGTTACCACTTAAAACTGATGATCCTGACCTACGTGAGGGTAATCAGCCTGTGCGCTAACATTCACTTTCATGCTGTGGGACATGTCGCGAGTTAAGAAATGAACCTGACAATTTATCCATGTAACAAAAAATTGTATAATTTGCATGGTTCCTCTCTTTAAATAATATATGGCAGTGCTCCTCCCGTTTTGTTCAAAGAAAACATTTATCGGATAATCAAGTTTATAGTCGGGATTTATGTCTTGTACGTGCAGGCAGTAGGCCACAAATGTGACTGCCCAGTTTAATTTTGACAAGCGAGCGACACGCCTGAACTGTTTATATGCATTAATCATTGCACCGAAGTACATGTCCCATGTTCAGTTCACACAGTTCACTAGAGACCCTGTCCATTTTGGCACCTGGTTGGAGGAGACCGCTACTAAGGTCGCTAAGGATGAAAGAAGACGCTTTAATGGTTTGGTGATCTGCACATACTGAAATCTTTAGATGGAAAGAAACCAAAGAATTTTCAATAACGCTCAAGAATCGCCATTACAAGTGGCTTCAAGAATTATAGAAGACATTAAGCAAAGGAAGAGGGTGTTCCAAGGGGCATTCCAGGGAGGGGACTAGCAAGCTGGCCATTCTGGTTGTATACGTGATTTGGGGGGATTTTTTACCCTTATTTGTTTGCACAGCTTCTCGGTACGTGGCTGTACATAAACCTTCTTTATTCGTTCCTTAATTGAGAGGCAGAGCTCCTGCCGTTCGTTTCAAAAAAAAAGTACATGTCTCAGCCAAATGGAACATACTCCTAGTTCAGTTAACCAATTTAAGCGAAGCTTAACCATGATTTGTTGCTACATCTGCAAAATGTAGGGTTGAATCACCGGGGATTTATCATTTCATCAATTGGAAGAAGCTGCTTTTATGAATAGGATGTCATACTCCGTACATTTTGCACACCATGATGAAGAGTAGTGCATAATCTGGCGATTGATTTTTTTTAGACGAACATGCCGTCTCTATTCACAAAAGAGATTTTTAAGAGTTGCCGAGGTTGTAATCGATTTCTACGAGACCGTCACCAAACAATCCATGAATGAATGTTGGGTTGGGCCTCCTCAAATCACATGTGGGAAGACCCGCATGCAAAGCAACCACAAAATGCTCCAAAAGCCATCCATAAACACTGTCTGAGCCACTTTGGAATCAGTCTAAAAAGTAGTCGATAGCAAAGGTTACATATATGTCTATAAAAACTACTATAATAAGAAATAAAAAAAAATTCTCTGTCTTCTCTTTTCGCTTATTGGTTTCCGCCACCAAGTCGTTGCTACTCCCGTCGACCCTCCTCGCCCTGCACTGCTAGCTCCACGCCTTGGAGGTCACCGCCTTAGCCCTCCATGCGGCTCGTGAGGTTATCACCCTACTCATCTGTGCGGCCCATGAGGTCACTATCTCAGTCGTTTGTCTATCTACCAATCTACGTGCCAAACATGAGAGGTTTGCTAAAATAGGGATGTAGCTAGAAAAGAAGCTCAAATCCAATCCGGGAAGGAGAAAGCCTCATTTGGTCGGGGCGAGGCCCATTTGAGACGACAACAGTCTCATCCAGACGGAGAAGAGATGACGACAGCGAAGGTGTAACGAGCTGAGGCATTGACATACCTAGAGGAGATGGGGAGTCGAGGATGAAAGAGACGTGGACAATTGTATGTCCAGTGTTTTATTATTATTATAGTGGACCTATGTGTATAATTTATTTGTGTCTTTGGTGTTGTAGCAAAATACTTAGTCTAAATATATTGTGGTTGTCCACATGTTGTTCAGGAGGATTCGGCCGACCATCACCCACCTGACTAGAGGGATCGAGAAATTAGTCGAGTACAAAACTGATCTCTAAGCTTTACCTTATTTTGATAGTTCATCAAGATGGCAATCATGATTAAGTACTTCCTCCGTTTAGGAATATGAGGTATCCAACTAATTTTATGACATATTATGTGATACAACAAATGATGCATATAACCCTATTTGATTATTATGTTTAGATTGGTGACAGACATTAATGATATGTGTATGTGAATGTTGTTTTTTTTGAAGAATTTGTTCACTTGGAATCCCTTATAATTTGAAACAAATTAAAATGTTGGGATACCTATATTTTAGGATAGAGGGAGTATAAAAATATTAGATTGCATATAAGTTCTTTGTGTTTAGGATGAACTTCAATTCATTATATTTTAGGACCGAGGGTAAAACCAGAAAGTGAATGTAATAAGAAAACTAAAACAAGAAAGAACTAATTCCCTCAAAAGCACCTAGCAAAAAAAGAAAAGGAAAAAAATGGAAAAAGTCTCCCGTTTGTTCGGGCCTTAAAAATCCATCCCCTTCGTCTAAGCTATCACGCGTTCCAGAACCCTTCCCAGCTCGTCTTCTTCTTTTGTCGTCGTCATCGTCCTCCCCTCCACACTCTACTGGGCCCCTGGGTGCGTAAGCTACAGCTAGTGTGGACTGGAGATCCATCCGTCCGGTCCATCTGCTGGACCTCGATCGATTTCTTCTTACCTAGGTAAACCTCTGCAGGATCCTTTCTGTATGTGATTTGTTAATCCGTATCGTCCTGGTTGAGGATGGATGCCCCGATCCACCCATTCTGTTGCGGATTTGTTCGCTCTGTGGTGCTGGTGGTAACAGCTGTAGTTTTTCCCCCAAATTTTGTTCGGGTTGTTAATTCTGCACGTGCTGGGGCGGGGCGGTGGGGGATCGGTGATAGATTCGTGCGATCCTTTGGCTCACGTTGAGGTGTATGTGTCGTGCAGGGACATCCGGGGATGTCGACCCCTGCAAGGAAGAGGTTGATGAGGGATTTCAAGCGGTTGATGCAGGACCCTCCGGCTGGCATAAGTGGCGCCCCGCAGGATAACAACATAATGTTGTGGAATGCTGTCATATTTGGGTATGATGCAGAATCCTCCATTTCCCCCCTTTCTTAGTTTGAATTGTAATCTGACATCGTCTTTGTATATGTTTGTTTCATTTACAGACCTGATGATACCCCGTGGGATGGAGGTTAGTTAATCTGATTCATGTTGCAGATTTTTGCTTCCTAGACCCAACTCATCATGTGCTTATCCAAACAATAATAAATTGCATCTGCATATGCTGCTGCTGGCTTTGTCAGCACAACAGGCACCACTGACGTGATCAAGCGATACAGAATACGACAATCTTTTAGTAGGCAGTAGTTCACTTGCAGGTGGCAAGCAGAAGTTTTCAGTTATCTGAGTTTGTTGACCTTACTGTCAAATGCGTAGCTGCTCTAGAGTACAAATTCCAAGTTAAGATTTATAGAGGAAACTGACCCCCAAATTCAATGGAACTTTGTAAGGTACCATGCTAACACTAGTGTCAGTCTTGGTAAGCGATGACGTCAAATTAACTTCTAAAGCAAATATTAATAATTATAAACAATAAAACTATTGTTAAACCTAGTGAGAATTCCTTTTCTTCTCTCATTGAATCTTAAGATAAGAGGAAAAAAACATTGCAACGACTATTGCTACTGTGAGAACATGCAAGCCCAAAGCATGTTGCTGGTGGTGACTGGTGAGAAAGGTCAGTCAATGCTTTGGTATTTGTATATATGTGTAGAATGATTGATTTAGACAGAATAAAGTTAAAGAATTAGCTGGATGAGCCCCATTATCCAGGAATTAATTATACAATGGTCCTCTTAACAGAGAATCAATAGTTGCTATGGTCCTCTTCCTCTTGTCGCAATTTTTGTATTTGTGCTGTTTCAGAACAAGACAATGTCTACACTATAACTGTTCTGCCTCTCTCTGCCGTTTGAATTAGCTGATAATGCATGCTTTATTGGAAGCTAATGTTTCACACACCACAGGATTGTCTGTGCGCGGCCTGCAGCTTGTCACCTTTTTTGTTGACATCCTGTGGTGCCAATTCCCTTATGGTTTGTGTTAATTTAGCGGTAGTAAAATTGTTCAAAGTTTGCCATAACTCAAAAACATTCCCATTTTGGAAATACATGATCATATATTGTCGGTTCATAGATTGGGAAAGTGTTAGATATGAAAATGATCCTAAATCTCCAGGGCACTAACTCACACAACAGCTCTTAGATTCTGTGTTGCTAACTTGTATCTGAGCTTACTACATAGTTTGCTTTGTGTTCTGTCCTTTCATTGATAATATACTAACTCCTATTTTATTCTCAGGTACGTTCAAGATGACTCTCCAGTTTAATGAAGAATATCCAAACAAGCCACCAACCGTGCGCTTTGTTTCTAGGATGTTTCATCCAAACAGTAAGTTGTTTCTCATCCATATTTATATGAGTGTACAGGAAATAAGTAGATCTGATTTTGTCTTTGCTGACTTGTTCTTTCCCCCAAGGGACCTCTTCAACTCAGACATCATAGACTTTTTTTGGCAACTTTTCTGTGTTTGTGGTTATCTTCTTGATGTATCAGATATGTGCTGTGGTTTGTGAATACATATGTGCTGAGATTTCACAATGCATGTAGTGCCATTGGTTTTGAACCAATGGAACTCTGGCTTATTCTGATACAACTGCTCTTAACTATAGGATGATACTACCTTCTAATGTCCACTTATATGTCACACCGACATATTTTTCTCGTGTGCAGTTTATGCTGATGGAAGCATATGCTTAGATATCCTGCAGAATCAGTGGAGTCCAATATATGATGTAGCTGCAATACTCACGTCGATCCAGGTACAACCATACAAGTAATCTTTTATTGCTTGGCAGAGATTATTGTTTTTCTTTTTCCAACATTTGTAACTTTTGCTTGTTATACAATAACATTCGACTTTGCAATGCATAGCAACTCCCTCAATCCCAAATTGAGTGCACTTCTAACTACAGCGCTAAGTCAAACAATCTTCAGTTTGACCAAATTTTTAGAAGTATTTATGGTACCAAATTAGTATTATTAGATTCATTATGGAATATATTTTCATATTATATCTATTTGGAATCATAATTGTTGATACTATTTTTTATAAACTTAGTCAAACTTAAATAGTTCTATTTGGACCAGATTTAGAAGCGTACTCTTTTTGGGACGGAGGAAGAGTAGTTTCTGTTACTGCTATGGACCTGGATGCCTGTGCTGAGTAGAATGTGTCTCTGTTTATGTTTATGAATTATGGTGTTCTCAGAGACTCAAACCATCTGTGCTGGTGGCCAGTGTGTGACTAACCTGAGGTGTGTGCCATTTGCAGTCATTGTTGTGCGACCCAAACCCGAATTCGCCCGCTAACTCTGAAGCTGCCCGCATGTTCAGCGAGAACAAGCGAGAGTACAACCGCAAAGTGCGGGAGGTCGTGGAGCAGAGCTGGACGGCGGACTGATGCATTGCGCGGCGCTGCGCAGCTGCTCACTGCGCCCCGCATCCGTCCGTGCGTTCCATAACCAAAAAAAGAAAAGAAAAAAGAGGCATGATGCTTGTGCTTGCAACTAAAGCCGAATTCAGCTGTTACTGCTGTTGCCTGTGTAAGACGCTTCTCTATCTTGGTTTGAGCAGTGGAGATTGTTCTGTCTCAAATCAACTTTTACCTTGCGTTGGATCTGGAATACAAACTTAATTACTCTTGCGTTGTGCCAACATTTTGTATGAACTTTCCTCCGCTGGGTATGAGAATGCTTTGCTTTGGTTGGGAGATTATTTGAAAGCCAGCCAGGTTGCCGTAGGAGTATTTATTTAGCTCAGTTTTGGTGTTAGAATTTTCGCGTCCAGCCAGGCCCTCACATCGCAGTAGTTGCCAAACGAGCAGGCCGACGGCGAGGGGGTGGTGATATGGCGCGTGCGGAACAGGAATCGCTGGCTGCGCCGCTGCTCGAGCCGACCGCGACGGCGAGACAGCGCGTCCCGTTCGTAGAGGTGCGGCTGTACCGGCGGGGCGACGGCCCGGTGGCGATCTTCCGGTCGGACCTGTCGGGCCCTGGGCGGGACCGCCTCGACGTGCGCCGCATCCAGGCGAGCCACGGCCTCCGGGCGCTGTTCGCCTTCAGGCCCGAGGGACCCCGCCGCGGGCGCGGCCTCCGGATCAGGTGCGACCCAGCCGCCGGCTACTCCGCGCTGCCGTTCCGCGACGGCGCCGCCATCGCCCTCGACGGCGAGCCCAGAGTGAGTTGGTCGTGTTCCTCTCCCTTCGTTTTTATTTATTTGACGGTTTGCACCTCGCGGCAACGTGGATATCGCGGAACGGCGGAATCAACCAACCCCACGGCTTTTCCCCCCTTTTCGTTCGTTGCCGTAGGAGTCGTGGACGAAGCCAGTGTCGGTGATCGTCGCCGGCCTGCTGGTGCCCGCGGTGATGGTGGCGGTTGCGGTCAACGGGGTGCCGGAGCCTCTGCGGTCGTCGAGGCTGGTCAACGGGATGTTCCCGCCGTGGATCCTCGTCAGCAAGAAATTGCAATTATACGACATCAAACAACACGCTTCGCAATTATAGAACTCCAATCGACTTCGATCTTGAAACATTGGCTTCTTATTTTAGATGACATTTGACGTATTTCTTCACTTTGTTAATCAAAATACATGTATTTTGGCCCACTTGTGACCCTTCTGCCCTACTCGGATACTCCTCACTCGCTTCCTCAGCTCCATCCCTCGCCGCACCGGCGTTTTGCTATCGTCGTCTGCTCCTTCCGTGGAGCCAGCTGCTGCGTCCGACCGGGGCTATGGCGGGCATTGACCTCAACACCGTGGAGGAGGAGGATGAGGCGGAGGCGCCACTGGGGCCGGTGGCGCCGTGTGCTTGGAGCTGTGGCACGCGTGCGTGGGACCCGTCGTGCCGCTGCCGCGCAAGGGCAGCACCGTCTTGTACCGAACTTGATATCACTTGTTTAGGTCCCAAGTAGATCATGTGGAAAATATGAAAATATTTGATTGTGATAGCATATAGATAGTGGAGACACATGATGAAGAATGTTGTATTGTACTTATGAGTGAGAATCAGATTTGTGAGCTTTTAGGCTTGACAGAGGAGGACACAACAAATATATTTGCACAGGGCTTTGATTGCCGAATGGATGAACAGGGGCATGATAATGAGTTTGGGTAAGATAATGATGGTGCTGCCATTCCTACTAGTGATGCCATACCAGGTGAAATGATCATTTTATATGTTAAGAACAACCCATCCATGGATTTAGGAACAGTGTATCCAACAATGGAGGAGTTTAAGATGGCAGTGCGGCAATTTGCCATCAATAAGGAGTTTGATTTAGGAACAGAGATGTCATGTAAGACGAGATATAGGGCTTATTGCAAGTCTGATGATGAAGATTGCCCTTGCCCTTGGAGGATAAATGGCACCAAACATAAAGGCCAAAGCACTGCGGAGGTGAATAAATTTCTTTTTCCTTTCATTAATTCTACTTTTCATGTAAATTAATATGAATCTCATTGATTTTTTGTTTTGCAGGTAACCGTCTTAGTCGATAAACATACATGTGTGTCTAGCATGAGGTAGATAACTACAACTCTAAATCTGAAGTGGGTAGCTAGCAAGGCTGTGAGTATCCTTAGAGATGATCCAAATATTGGTGCTAAGGAATTGCAAAAGAAGTTGTAGACAAATCACAAGTGTCAAATTGCATATGACACTATATGGCGGGGTAAAGAAAGAGCTCTTGATGAGGTTTATAGCAAATGGAAAGAGAGTTTTGAGTTGTTGTTTAGGTGAAAGGCAGAGGTAATGAAGCGGTGCCCTAGGAGTGTTGTTGAAATTGAAGTACTTGAGGTGGATGGTCAAGTATATTTCGACCGTTTTTTCTGTGCTCTTAAACCATGCATTGATGGTTTCTTGGAAGGTTGTAGGCCTCATTTGAGCATAGATGCTACAACACTTAATGGAAGGTGGAATGGTCACTTGGCCGCAGCTATAGTAGTTGATGGTCATAATTGGATATATCCACTCGCTTATGGCTTCATAGCTTCTAAAACAACAGACAACTGGACTTGGTTCATGGAGCAATTAAAGAAGGCAATAGGTGATCCTCCACTCCTTGCTATTTGTTCTGATGCTTGCAAGGACTTGGAGAATGCAGTGAAGAATGTATTCCCAAATGCAGAGCAAAGAGAATGCTTTTATCATCTTGTCAAAAAATTCAAGAAGAGATTTAGAGGGTTTGGACAGATATATCCTGCGGCAAGGGCTTACAGAGAAGACATATTCTATGACAATATAGCAAAAATGGTAAGTGAATGAGCAGAAGCAGTGAAATGGTTACAGACCAATCATAAGCTATTATGGTATATGTGTGCTTTTAGTCCAGAAATTAAGTGTGACTACATAACTAGTAATATTGCTGAGTCATTTAATAACTAGATTAGAGACCATAAAGACTTACCTGTTGCTGACCTTGCTGGTAAGATTAGAGAAATGATCATGGTACTTTGGAACAAGAGAAGAAATATTGCATACAGGCTACCTGAAGGCAGGATACTTCCAGCTATTATGCATCAGCTAAAGGCAAATACTAGAGGTTTGGGACACTTGAAAATTGTACCATGTTCTAATTGGAGTGTAGAGGTGTGGGACCATAGCAGCAGAGTTGAGAGGCATTTTGTCAAGTTACACCAAAGGACCTGTACTTGTCTTGAATGACAGCACACTGGTAAGCCATGTCAATATGTATTGGCCTATGTAACCCACCAATGGGGAGTTGACCTTGAACAGTTTGTGCATGACTATTACTCAGTGAATAGATTCAGGGCTGCTTATGGTAGAGAGATTGAGCCGATGACAGACAAAACACAATGGCCACAAGTTGACCTATCATTTTTAGTTGGTGCACCTCTTGCTAAATTACCTATTGGAAGACGAAGGAAACTAAGAAGGAAAGGATGGATGGAAGGTGGCCACAAGAAGAAAGGTTCCAAAGATGGTGAATGTACCAACGAGGGTGAAGATGAGAAGGGATGTGATAACGATAATGCTCCAACAAATGGAAAGGGAAAGAAGATGATCAGAGGACCTATGACTTGCCAAAAATGTGGACAAAAAGGTCACAGGCAAGCTAGTGCCAAGTGCCCACTCAATGGGATAGCAAAAAAGTGGTAACTACTGATTTTCATTATCAAGAAATTCGAATGAAAATGTCAATAGTAATTTATTTGTTTACTTGTAGAAAGCGTAGGCAACCTAGGAAGAATGTTACAAAAGCTACGTCAGCAGAACCTAGCACCCCACGGAGGCCGACTAGAGAAGAAATCCTACGGGATAGTCCAGGAAGGGTCACTAGAAGGTAAGGAAAATTAACACATTTACTGTACATTAAATCTTTCCATACATCTAATTGTCGTATTGTATTTTATGTGCAGCAAGCTTGCGATGTTATTAGGAGAGGGCACATCTTCACAAACCGACACCGCTAGTCCCGTGAGAATGCCTACCGCGGCAGCACCAAAAAAGATGACTCCAAAGAGAAAGCTACACACTGGATGAATTATTTTACTTGTGATGAGATGTAAATTCATGCTTTATTTCATATAACTTGGATCTCGTTTGGAACTAAACTATGGTCTTCTGAGATGAACTTGTTTATGCTACATTGCTACAATCATGGTTTTATGAGATGAGCTCATTTGTTCGCAAGTTGTCTGATCTTTTATTGAAGTATCAGTTGATTTTACTGACCACTTAGATTAGCTTCGAGATATTCATTTTCAGAAATTTGCTCAAATTTACAGACTGAATGCAAATACGATAACCTCTATTACTTGGAAACTAAAGCCAACATTTGGTCAATTATTATTACTGAAAATGCAGACTCTCAAATGAACACAACTAAAGGCCTCTGCTGGTTGTAGTCCTGCACGCCACACCAAACAGGGGTCCCAAACAGAGTCAGTAACCCAAGCAACCTCGAAACCACCATGAGAAGGAGGACCTCTTTCAGGGCTACTGGCCGTACCAGCGATGGGAAGCAGTCCTCGGCAGCGCAGCGCGGCACGGAGAAGCCGCCGTGCGTGCTGGTGTCGAAGGCCGTGAGCGTCTTGCAGAACATGTGCGGCTTCCGTGTGAGTGGCTTCATGGCGGCCCCGTCCTCGCCGTCGCGACCCGCGTCCTCGTCCTCCCGAACCCACGCCCGCCTCTCCGCGTCGCCGCCGATGTGCTCGAGGTGGCCCTGCGACAGGTACAAGATGGCGCTGCCCTTGCGCGGCAGCGGCGTGATGGGTCCTACGCACGCGTGCCACAACTCCAAGCACACGGCGCCACTGGCCCTGGCGGCCACAGGCGGCGCCTCCGCCTCCGCCTCATCCTCCTCCACGGTGTTGAGGTCAATGCCCGCCATGGCCCTGGTCGGCCGCAGCAGCTGGCTCCACGGAAGGAGCAGACAACGGCAGCAAAGCGCCGGTGCGGCGAGGGATGGAGTTGAGGAAGCAAGTGAGGAGTATCCGAGTAGGGCAGAAGGGTCACAAGAGGGCAAAAATACATGTATTTTGATTAACAAAGTGAAGAAATACGCCAAATATCATCTAAAATAAAGAAGCCAACGTTTCAAGAGTCATTTTAACGAAGTCGACGATTGGAGTCCTATAATTACGAAGCGCATCGTTTGGTGTCGTAATTGCAATTTTCTCCCTCGTCAGCGCGGTCATCTTCGCTCGTGCCCAGACGCGGCCAAGGGCTCCATAAATCTCTCTAGAGAGCACCCCAGCTTCCTACTACTTTCTCTCCCATGTCAAGAATGCAGGAATTTGTTTGTGATGTAGTATTCCGTAGTAGCATTGACGATTCCAACTATCACCGGATTTTGTTTGCTGACGACACATCTGAAATGCTATGGATTCACAAGCGGAGTTTGGATGGATGTCCAGCACGATTCCTCCATCACAATATCAGAGGCAGATCTAGAAAATTCTATTTATTCGTATATTCTTCTAACATTTGAGAAACAAAATGATAAATTTTTTTGGAGTGATCAGACTTTTTTTTTTTGTGTGTGTGGGTTGGGGGTGGGTGGGGGTACCAACAGACGCCAATACTTTTTCTTTGAGACCAACAAATCTGACACGAAATGATCGTATGGAATACATTCTACTTCAGGAAAAAAAATCTATCTGGACTAGTAGCAATTCAAGCCGAATAAAGCTCAAGCACAGTGCACAGATGCTGCTCAGCTGCTGCATGTGGTGGTTAGATACTTAGATCAACGTAAAAAATGTATAGTGGGTTCCAAAAAAAAAAAAAAAAAAAAAAGAACCTGGTGCAATCAAGGGACAGCAAGCTCTGCTTTCAAGAATCTAGGATGACAAAAAATAGCGCATGGAAGCAAGCAAACTTTTACAGGCAATACATATGCTACACAACATGGTACATTCTACCGCCGTGGCTCCACAGTCCAAAGTAGCCCAAAATTTTAGATACAGATGTTAAGTCTTAACTGTTGTTTGAGAAATAGTGAAATAGAACTGCAGCTACTGCAACAAATACAACCTTGAATAGCAGCTTCTTTGATCCAGTCGATTCAGATGAGGACCCTGACTCTGTTGGATCCACCTTCTGCCCCCTTAACTTAGCTACCAACCGAGGAATGAGCCCATGCCTTGTGGCTGTAACAGAATTAATACTGGTAAGAAGCAAGCTGCTGATGTTTTTTTTTTCAGGAAAATAAAATATCAACAACATTTGTTAAGAAATTCAGAAGCCCCCTTACATGTACTTCCTCTTTTCCAAATTGTAATTAGTTCTGGCTTTTCTAGGTACATAATAGCTTTTGCTACACACCTAGAGATACATTATGTCTAGATATATAGTAAAATCTATGTATCTAGAAAAGCCAGAATGACTTATAGTTTGGGGCGGAGGGAGTACATCACAATAGGGGTGAAATAGGAAATAAATATCAATATAAAATATGTGAAATAGTTTGCAGAAAAATATGCCAAGGTCAGTTCAGAAAATGCAAGGGATTTCACACTGAAGCTAGTGCCAAGGGTTCAGTTAACAAAAGTCCCACTCCTAACAACCAAAGTTTTAAAAAAAACAATCAAATACTATTTTCTCTTCATGTATAGAAAGGCGGTTCTTAGTAGTATCAGAAAACAAGTCGAAGCTGGGTTCCTTGTCCCAGGAAATCGTCCCTGTCCCAGGAATTCAGGAACAATTTCATCCCTGTCTTATAAAAACTCTAGCAAGTAGTGCGCCATGTTCCTTGACCCTGTTCCTTGACCCCCATGGACCCAGGAACTTTGTGACTATGCTTAGTAGCATACTGTTAAAGATCAAGCAGTGATTTTCTATCTTTGAGACCTGTTTGATATCGAAATAGCACATTTATAAAAGAGTGCGTAGTTTTTTTTTTCTTGAACCATGTAGGAGTGCCATGTGTCATTTCATTAAGATGAAAGCCAAATGTACAACACCAAACAGGCTACACAGCCAAAATCCACGCATCCCCTAGAACACTGAGATCAAATACGATACGATCAAATAGATCAGATGACCAAAATGCAAGGACACAGACCCTAGAAAAGGTTCTGGAGGCCATGAGTCCCAGCCTTGAACAATAGAGAGCTCCCTCCGCTTCTACTGTCCACACTACCAAGGATATGTTCAGGGTAGCATTGTTGAAACCGCAATCATTACAGTGTTTCCTTATTTCCCGTGTTACTAAAATGATCAAAGAATCGAGGTCTTCTCACTGCTCTTTATCCGCTCTCTTGATAATCCAGTTCGACCAGCCAGAGTAGTGGCATCAGGTTGTCGTGTTAGAGCCTGCAGGCTAATTCTCGGACTACAGTAAGCTATACTGTACTTGCAACCACACAGATCAACAGATGGTTGATAGTTTCAGGAGCTAGGTCACAAAGTGGGCAAAACGCCAGAAATGGCAACCCCGTCTTTGCCAATCTGTCTGCAGTCCGACAATGGTTAAGTACCGCAACCCATGTGAAAAATTACACCATAGAGGAGCCCATGACATACAAATCCTTTTTGAAGGCGCAAATCTAATTGGTCCGAGAAACAAAGGGTGTGTTTGGTTTCCTGGCCAGTTTCTAGCCTGGCTAGAATCCTAGCCTGGGCAGCTTTAGTGTGCTCCCACCAAGCCAACCCCTAGTTGTTTGGTTGTCTGTACTATAGTAGCCTGGCTAGCCTCAGGGTGTGTTTGGTTGCTTGGTTTATTTTGATACAGCCACCTCTTCTCCCAAAGGGTAAGGTTACCCCTTTGAAGCATTTCATCAAACAAGTCATGGGCATCCAACAGGAGCATCAGCTACAGTGGCATCATCGTCGTGGGTCCGAGCTTCTCAGGCACTGCAACTACGCCATCATGGGCGAAGAGGAGTTGATTGACAAGGCCGGCCCCAAGGGCTACAAGCTCGACAAGCACAAACTCGAGCTGGAAGTCGAAGATGAGACAGCGGCCGCCGACGGCGACTCGTCTGCCGTCGTCACGGTCGGCAGGGTCTGGAGGCTCGCCGACTCCGACCAGCTGCTCTCGAGCGAGCCGAGGCTGAAGAGGCTCTGCTTCTCCTTCGCGCTCTTCAAGCTGCTCCATCGGAGGTTGGAGGGGTACCCCCTCAGCGGCATTGGAGGGGTCCCGAGCACGACAAAAGTTGGGCGAGCACAACAATGGCGGCACAAGTGGAGCAGCAGACGGGGAGAGAGCAGCACGGCGAGCACAGCAACACGACAGTGGCCTACGACGCCTTCCCCGCCGACCTCTTCGACTGGCTCGGCGCCACCTTCGGCTTCCAACTCGACAACGTCCGCAACCAGCGGGAGCACCTCGTGCTCCACCTCGCCAACGTGCAGCTCCACACGGGCGGCGCCCTCCCCGCCGACGTGCTGCACCACTCCGTCGCGTGGGACATCCGGAGGAAGCTCCTCAAGACCTGGTGGCTGGTGCTCCTACCTCCGCAAGAGGCCGCACGTCCATGTGCCGCCAAGCAGCGGACGTCGTGTCGCGCAGGGGGTCGGACCACGCGCCGCGACACCGCTCTGTACCTCCTCATCTAGGACAAGGCGGCCAATTTGAGGTTCATGCCGGAAGACGCCGTCATCCATCGAAGGATTTGGGAGGGGTGACCGGCATCCATGAATCCATCGACGTACGGCGGGGTGGCCTGGCTGCCGCGCCGGCACCGGGAGGAGAAGCACCTGCCGCCGGGGAGGACTGCCGGCAACGGGGGCGTGAACGGATGCGGTCGACGAAGTGCCGCGGATGGAGGTGGCGTGTACGGAGGCGGTGAGGACTCGGGACCGAGGCTTAGCCAAGCCTGGCTCCAGAAAAACGGCCACCCCCCTGCGTTTTTCTGGAGCCAGGCTAGAGGGGGGTGGGTGGCTCCCTGGAGCCTGGCTTCGGGCTTCAAACAGGCAACCAAACAGCCCAAAGGTGGCTTCTTGGAGCCTGGTTGGGAGTTAGCCACCCAACCAAACACACCCAAAAAGTTCTCAACCTGTTTTGAACAATACTTTCTTCAAACCAAGTACTGTCTTCTTTTAGCCAGTACATCTATTTTTTCCCTAGAACTAGAACAATTCATCAACAAATTTCCTATAAAGGATGCTTGCTAAGAGTTGCCACTTCTTCAGTATGACCACTGCACAGCAGAAACATGACCAGCTAAATCTAGAGCAAGAAAACAGGCACATTGTGTTCAAGTAACCTTTTTAGTGTGTAACACTGTAACTTGTTTCAAGGTAGGGTTGGAAATTGTAAGTTGAACAAAAAAATGTTAATTATTCAATTCTTTCAACATCTGAAGCTGCATTCCATCCTTTACATCAAATTTTGAAGAAACAACTTTATCTGATTCTCTCTAGAAGAGCAGGCATGGTTGTTCGAGAAAAAAGAGCAGGCATGGTGACAGCACAACGAAAACAAAATTTATTGATTCTGCATTGAATGTAGCTGTTATACAAGTATGATTAAGTCCCCTACATACTCACAAGCTCTGTAACACAAGGCATCAGAAAACAGAAACCAAACAAAACAACATAAATATTTGTGCTTACCTGTTTTCTTCAACTCCCTCTCTTCCTCACCAATCCTTCGTCTCAAAGCATTCAATAATGAGCCAAAGTAAAGAGCTAAGACAGTGCATGTGAAGGTGATGACATTGTATGGCATGCTGAAATCAGGAGTTGTCAGGGGAACAAGCAATACTTCTGTATACGACTTCACAACACTATCTTCCTGCAGAACACAGAGATATTGACATACTGCAACGATAATGAAGCACAAATACTTATATTCATGTATGGCAAGGAAATCAGCCAACTGATCAGTTCATGACATCTCTGAGGGTGTACCTGGAAATATTCTAGTAAAGGAGATCCAAGTACTGGATCAATTTCAGGGTAACTTCGAGCAGAACTGAACTCAGGAAAGCTAACCAAAGCTGAAGGAATGTCAAATCCTTGATTAGCATCAGGAGGATATTCATCTATATGCAGGAATCCCTGAAATTTCATGTGCAGTTAACATTGTCACAAACTAAAAACGCAATGTTTAGTTCTGGACATCATTGCATTAAGACTGCCCAAGGGGCAAATAACAAATGAAGACTCAGGCCGAAGCACCAAGTGAGAAATATGTGAAATTCTACCCAATGGGAAGGTACATTCAAGTAACTTAAGCAGCAGAGCATACCTTGTCAAAATCCAATGTCAGAGTTCCTGACTGCATACTGCAAGGGAATCTTAGTAGCATCTCCAGGGTACCAGGCAAAAGCTTGTCTTCTGAAGGAATGACATGAATCTTGTCAACTACTTCTGACACAGTCTTCCTGCTCCCATCTATAAATATTTCTAGGCTGTGATAATAGACCTTAACATACCATGGAACAACCTGGAAAATAACTGCCTTTATTGAACAATCAGTTGGGCTGCCGGATATCTGCTTATGAAGATTAGTGGACATAAACGACAGAGCAATTGACCCTCTTTCATTTCCACTGCCCATAAGAAATCTGCTTGCATGAAAAGGTGATGGGGTGCAAGTCCATACGAGGGGAAGCTTCCAAGTTATGCCCACATCCAAAGGTTTTTCCTCAGTGTAGTTACTAGCATCATATACATATAAAAAAGAAGATTGAATTTCTACGTGATTTTGACCTTTGATCAACTTGTCCGGGCTATTAGACAATACAAAGAGTTCATTACTCCAAGAAAGATCACTTCCAGATTTGTTAACATTGTCAACAATGCTTTTATCAACCTCAATGAATACTCTGCTGGATTTAGAAACAAGGCATTTCCCTGACAACTTTCTGTTGAAAAGATGTCTCATGGACCAGTTGGGCTGAAGTTGACCATGATTGGAATGTAGCTGTTCGCCACTTACAGTATTTGGTTGGAGCACAACAGTCAGAGTTTGATCAAGAATAATACCAAGTGACTGGGAGGATCTCAGTTTCAGTTTTTGCGAATGGTAATATCCTTTGTAAATTGAAGGCCTGTACAGCAAAAAAGCTATCCCAGCTTTGTCACGACACGGAAGAAGTTTCAACCAAGGTGTCAGATTCTCGGTGCATACTGCTTCACGAGGCAATGCACCATATCGCAAATTGCCTTCATTCAATTTAAATCCCCAACGAGGAGCAGAAAATGCAGTTGAAGACTCCAAAAAGTTGATGGATGCACAAAACAGGCCAGAGAGTGTATGTGTCAGGTTCTTCCATGTTGCATCAATTTCAGACAAAGGAAGATCAAAAACTGCCCACAGCTCAACACCAGGAGGCTTTGCATTATTAGTTGACATAGGATCAAATCCACCCCACTGCTCATAGTTCCATCTTCCCTGGGTGAAAGATAGCTCCAACTCGCTAATATGATATTTTTTAACCTGGTCTTGACAAAGCAGAATAATGTTAATAGAGGTTCTCAGTCATTCATAAAATGTGGCAGCACATAAGAAATGGAGGGCCCCTTTCTTCAGCGCCCAGGCTGTTGTGACTTAAAGGTGTAAACAAGGAATAGCTTATTATATGTAAACCTAATAGGCAACAAAAGAATACAGAGTAAAATTCTCAAACCCACCAACTACTGTGCCCATTTCAGAGACCCCCAATACTCAGGGTCATTGACTTGTTGTCTTACAAAGTACAAACCCACCAACTACTGTGCTCATTTCTAATCAAGCTGGGCTTCAGCCTTTGATCAAATTGCAAAACTTAAACTTTACAGCGATTCCACAGCACCTCGGCTCAAATTTGGGTAAAAACAAATCAGCACTTGGATTGCAACATTCAACTAATACCTTGACAACTTGATAAACATCATTAGGTGGAAAAATGAAATAAATGCAAAGTAAAGATCTCCATCTTAGCACAACTATGTACATGTGCCAAAAGCAAAATCTTTGCAGCAAAGCAATTGCTTGCCTCACTGTCCCAGTGGAGTACCCACAAACAGATCAAACGTGTTATTGATCTACAACCACAACTGTCTAGTAACATGCTAGTCCAAGCTAATGTACCAGTATGAACGACGAATTAAAGCCGTATACAATTGGAACATAAACCCTAAGTCAGCGACATCAGAGATCTGCTCCTGAGTGGAGGTGGACGCACGGAGCACGCACCAGCTGGGATATGGCCTTGGGAAAGATGTGGTGGTGCCGACCAACGGAGGCAGCGGGGGGCGCAGAGGAGCGGAAGTGGAAGTGGGCCAGTGCCTTGCGGTCCGGGAGCGGCCGCAGGAGCAGCTCCTCCGTGAATTTCTCCTCCTCAGGCGCCGCCGCAGACGCCGCGGCGGCGGTAAAGAGGAAGAGGAAGAGGAGGGACAAGAAGAGGATCGGTCCAGCGCAGGGGCGGATCCACCAATATGGCGAGGTCCCCGCCGGCGAGAACCCCCTTTCCCTCATGGCCGGATGCCCTCTGCTATGTGCGGCCATGGACGGAGGTAGAAGACGGCGAGCGATGAGAGACGCGCGAGAGAAACTGTTAGACCACGTCTGGGCCTATTGGGCTGCGTAGGCAGGCCGCTCAGAGAAGCCCAGTGGAAGGCGAACACTTCTGGCCTTTAACAACGTTGTTGTTTTTTTCCCATTCCCCTCAAAAAAAAATGTTGTTTTTGCCTATTGAGTTACCATGCTGCGCTTAACCCCCACATCGCCTTACCGGTCATCGCGGTTGCGTCGCTACGAACCTGCCACATCGCATCAGCCGCCGCAGCTAAGGGCTAGCGCCGTAGCGCGAATCCACGACGATGAAAAGGCAAGTGAAATTGATGCATCTAACTGTGAATTGATTCTGTTGTAGTCCGTCGATAAGAATCGAACTTGCTAATGTCCAGACGTCCAATTCAGGGTGCTATCGTCGGACGGTACCAGCTCATTGAGCGAGCGAGCACCCCAACGAGTTGGGCTTACGAGCGAGTGCCCCAACAGCAGACCCGTGCCACCCTCGGACGTCGCCCGCGCCGGCAGCCGCTTTCCACGCGCATCCCATATGCAACACACGATCTACTTTTAAAATATCCAGATGCAACAGTTACAACATACAAAAGAAAACAGCCGAGACACTTGAAACATGTGTTTGCAACACTTACAAAAAAATCAAAACACTTGCAACAGACACACGAAACACATGAAACACTTAAAATATACGCTTGCAACATGCATGTATATGCAACATCTAGATGAAAATACTTGAAACATACGTTTGATACAGATGAAACATTTAAAACATCACTCGAAACATACGTGCATAGACATTGCAACATGTGCAATATCCCGATCTACTTTACAACAACGATACAAAACACAAGCAACATACCTCTGAAACATCTAAAACATCTTAAACATATGTTTGCAACAAGCGCTTAACATCTCCCTCGTCGGCGTGTGGAGTTCACCGGTGCAGAGCTCGTCGGTGGCGTGAAGCTCGCCGCTCCGATGGAGAAGGCCACGACAGGTCCGATGGACAAGGCCGCATGACGATCGATGAGCGTGATAGAGAGGGTGGAAGGCGGGCGGCAGAGATTGGGTGCAGTGGAAAAGGTGGATGGCGGTCGACGGGGCGCGATGGAGAGCGCCGCGGTGGAGCACGCGAGCGGTGGTGCAGTCATGGTGGAGCATGCCACAACAGTGCAGGCATGGCAGCACATCGTAGCGGTGCGTTCTCAGTGCAACATGCCGCGGTGTTACGAGCATGGCGGCAATACGACATAGATACATAATTTAGGAAAATGAGAGCGGAGATTCTTTTTAGCAACGTGAGATGGGTGCAAGTGAGACTTTGCCGTGCGGGTGGGCATCGAGGCCCACGAACGCAAGCGTCCGGACCAACAGAAGCCCTACCCATAACATTTCACTACTAGAAAACTAAAATTCCCTGACGGTGATTATCGCCAGGAAAATTGAAAAACCGTCAGGAAAATGAAAATCTAATTTCCCTGATGGTACACCGTCAGGGCTAGCTCGACGAGGAATTTGGAAATTGTCTGACGGTGCACCATCAGGGAAATTAATTTTATTTTGACTGACGGTGACAAACAGACGGGACAATTATAAAACCGTCAGGGTAAATAATTTTTCTCTATCGGTAAGAACCGCCAAAAAAATCGAAACCGTCAAGGAATTTCGGCTTTCTAGTAGTGTTTTCGATTAAGAATCTGCAGATGTTTGATACATTGAGATACACCATTCTTTGATTTATGGGATATGCTATATTTTAGGTGCCTAAAATATAACTTATTTTCATGCGACAGCTAGCAACCACTAGATTAACATCCAATGGCTACAATCTATTGGGGGGCGACTCTCCGGCGGATTCCTGACGAGGTAGCCTCTCTCATGAGCCCAAAAGTAGGAGAAAGGGTTCGAGGCACTGCGCTGCGTCGATTGACCGATGAGTTTCCCCGCTTCTCTTTCCTCCATCTGTTTTCTCGTGTGTGGTTGCGACATTGGTCATGGCAACGGGGGGTGATTGTGTGTGTCATCTATGGGGAGGTGGCAGCGGTTTTCTGTCCGATTGATGATGTGATGCTATGCTCGAGGTGCGATGCGCAGGTTCATAGGGCGAACGCTGTGGCTCGACGCCATCCCCGTAAACCTATTCCTCCATAGGGTGCTTCGTCCTCATTGAGTTCAGGGGAGACTCAAGGGGGAGTAGCATTTCAAGGGCAATTGGGGGCGATAGGTGTAGGTTGGGGTGCATTAGCGATCAGGGACGATCCATTGCCACCACCAAATCCTAACTTGTTAGGGGGCGACTGGCCGGTGGTAGGGGAAGCTGGATGTAATATTGCGAGCTCAATGTCTCTGGCTAGACATCGCAGAGAGAAGAACCTCAACAAGCCAGTGTCCTCATGGGAGACTCGGCAGATTCAAAAACAGTGTGCGAAATTGGGGGATGAAATTAAGCAGATTTTATTCAACTCCCTAGAGAAGCAATTTGAGTTGGAGATTAATGAACTTGACGAATCCAGTAAGAGATTAGAGGCTGCTTTGACGAGGGCTAGCCAAGTCTGATGGAGGAGCACGATGGAGGCGTCTTCGAATAGACAGCGGGAACTGGAAGAAGCATCAAAAAATAGTTGGACTGGGCCGAATCTAGGTATGGTCCTTTCACATGCCAGTATTCACAATCACTCATGGCGTCCGATTGGGCCGAGATGGGTCTAGGTTGCTAAGGCGTCTAAGCTACAAGGGGAAAAATATCCTGCGTCGAGTGTTGATGTACAGAGGTACGATCACCTTGCTCGGTGTATTCAACCATAGGTCCTCCACCACCACTTCTCAGATCCTTTGTAGAGGTTGCTAGGGTGGATGGGATGGCCAAGAGGGAGCAAGGCCAGCGCCCATGGAAGAGGCGCCAGGAGGATTGGATGGAGGAGGACGATCTGCTGGACGAGGTGGTCCGCCATGAACAAGATCTGCGGTAGAAACTCTAGAGAGGGTTTGATGGGGAAGGTAATTCTCGTGCTTACAGAGAAGGTTACAACTATGATAGAGGGGGTTTTGGTGAGCGCGATTTTGGTCGTGGTGATCAGGGATTGAGGGGTGTTGATCTTGGCCCGCAGGCTGGTAGAGGTTTCAGCAGGGGTCAGCTTAGGGGAGAGATCTTGAAAGAGGGAATAGAGCTTCAGGAGATGATTATGGCAGAGGTCAACCAGCGCCTAGGGGAGGACAGGAGCAGAGAGGGCATGGGGGCCCGGGGGGTTGGAAACCAAAGGAAAATCAGCGAGATAGAAATCATCTTCTGATAGAGGGCAAACCTTCGGATATTAAATGTTTTCGATGCCTAGGAAGTGGTCATCACCAATCTGAGTGCAGCAATGATCCTGTGTGTTATAAATGCAAAGAGAAAGGCCATATGGCTGCTGAATGTAGTGAAAAGCATCAAATCAAACTTTTTGGCTTTGGAATTCCAAATTCTGGGTTCTATTCTATGGAAATTCTAGACTTGCAAGTTAAGCAGAGTCAGGCTATGGGGATGGTTCTGGTGCATCAAGGGGATGCCAGTGAAGCTAAATTGAATGAGGAGCTAAAGTTGGTTGTTAATGATAGATGGGATTTTCAGGCTAGACAGATGACCAGCAGTGAGTATATGGTGGTCTTTCTAGATAAGGGCACATTAGAGACTTTCTCTAAAATTGCTTACTTGGAACTACCAATCTACAAGTTGAAAGTCAAGATCTCTAAATCATCTTTGGATCTAGCCACTTTTTCTGTGCTCAAAACTTGCTGGGTTCAGATAAGCAATGTTCTAGGTGTTGCTAGGGAGGTGACAACGGCTAAAGCTTTGGCTTCTCTTGTTGGATAGCCCTTAGTGGTTGATGAGCTCAGTTTGATTAGGGATGAACCAATAAGAGTGAAGGTTAACTGCAGGGACCCAGGGGCCATTAAATGATTATTGAAGTTTTCTTCAACCAAGTTGGGTACAATGTCAAGTTTATGGCTGAAGGGAATTTTGGGAAAAGTCAGGAGTTCAAGGGTGGACCTTCGGGTGGTGGCAAGAAAGATGATAAACTAGATAAACGTGACCCAAAGGACCATGATGACCCTAAAGGTAAGAAGAAGCTAAACAAGTTTGATAGAATGGGAAGGTTTGATAGAGAGCAAGATTCTAGCCATGGGGACAACCAAGAAGCCATGGTGGTGGAAATGGAATGTGAGGGTGTGCATGAAGAATTATAGGGAAAAGCTCTGCCAATTGCTGCATTTGACCCGGTTACTAGCATTATCCAAATTGATGTAAACACTGAGAAAGCTCTGGTTTGTAAACATCAGACCTGGGATCCTACTTCAGATCTGCTACAAAAATGCTCTGATGAGCATTCAGATCAGACTGCTCAAGCTGATACTGAACAGGGTGTGATGCAGATGCCTGCTTAGGAGGAAAATCATATTACTGGTCATAATGGAGAGGAGCAGGTTCTGGAAGATAAAATTGTGGTACATGGGAGAGAGAGGACATACTTGATGGATAAAGATAAGTGGCCTAAATTAGTTTTGCCAGATGAAGGTGAGGGTCAGATGGTGGATAGTGAGCCCGAGATTGAGTGTGTGACTCAGATTGATCAGTCTCTAGGGGAGATTCAAGTCAATCAATCGAAGGGAGTTACTTAGGGGGAGATTCAGATTCCCTCTGATAATACTGGGTTGCTAAACTCTAAAGGGGTCAACACTGGGATTCAAGAGGGGTTATCTGATGAGGCCCTGGATTCAGACTTAAATCTTCTTGATAATGCTTACATTCAGAGCTTGGATGCCTTGGATGATGAAATTATCCAACAATCGTGGGTCAGCTCGGTCAAAAAGACAAAAGGGAAAAAGAAGGGTGGAGGAAAGGTGGGTATTGCCACAAGAACCGGCTATAGCATGTACACGTAGAAAGCATCTCCAACGGAAGCATCCACCAGCGTGGCAGCCCCCCAGCCACGCATGCCAAAATAGTTCTATGACATTATGTTTTCATCACAGATCAAACCACTTCTATGACGATTTACGAAAATCATCATAAAATTTTAAGTATGACGCGACTTCTATGACGAATCGGTTTTCGTTATAAATTCGTCATAAAACTGAAATTATGACGAATTTGGCTCCTTTAGTGACGAAAGCTGATCGTCATAAAAGTGGATATTCCTAGTAGTGTTGAATCAACATTTTGAAAAAGTAAATGATTTCAAATAAAAAAGTCATCAACAATAAAGTTATAGAAAACATCAAGATTTACAACTTTTATTTAGGTCATTTGTTTATCCGAGCAAGTGATGGTAAATTTTTTCATAAATTGAAATATCTCTCAAATAGTTTCATAAACTCTAAGAGAGATATGTAAATTTATGAACAATATATACTACCATTTTATCGGATGAATAAATGACATATATAAAAGTTGTAGATCTTAATGAGTTCTGTAACTCTGATGTCGATGACTTTTTCAGCTGAAATCATTTACTCTTTCAAATGTTGTTTGAAGTAGTTATTTTTTAAAATTCAAATTTTGAATCATTCAAACAAAGTCACATGAAAAGATGATCAAAATGAAAGTTGTAGATCTCGAAAAGTTACAAAAGTTTGTAGTTGACAAGTTTTTCATTTGAGATCATCTTCTCAAGAAAAACTATGTTTGAATTTCTCCAATTTGAAATTTGAATTTTTCAAACGACTTCGGATGGAGAAACAATCAAAATAAAAGTTGTAGATCTTGAAAAGTTATAAAAGTTTGTACTTAAGAACTTTTTTCGTTTGAAATCATTTTGTCAAGGAAAACTATGTTTGAATTTCTCAAATTTAAAATTTGAATTTTCAAAGACCTCGGATGGAGAAACAACAAAAATGAAAGTTGTAGATCTCAAAAAGTTAATCAGCTTTGTAGTTGACAACTTTTTAATTTAAAATTATCTTGTTAAAGAAAACTATGTTTGAATTTCTCATATTTGAAATTCAAATTTTGTAAACGACCTTGGATGGGCAAACAACAAAAACAAAATTTGTAGATCTCAAGAAGTTATACAACTTTGTAGTTGATAACTTTTTTATTTGAATTCGTCTAGGGTTTCAAACAATTAATTTAAATTCAGTTTAGGATAATATGTGGGGAAAGAAAATCTATAATAGACATAAGTGAGTGTGAGGCGCGATTTTCGCGTGAAAAATGTCACGACTTGCTAACCAGTGAGGGCCTCCCGGATTTGAAAAAAAAATGCTATTTTTTGCTATTTTTCAGGTCCAAAATCGTGATTTCTGAAAAATAATTTGTAGTAGCGGCTCTATATCCAACCGCCCCTACGAATGATCAGCCGTCCTTTAAAAACCAAGTTGTAGGGGCGGCTGACCAACCACCCCTACAAATCGACGATTTATAGCAACGACACCGTAGAGTGGCTACTAAAACCGTCTCTAAAAATCATCTGAAGCCGTCCTACAAATTAGTTTAGTAGTAGTGACAGTAGACGCATTAGTCGCTGTTGAGAAGTTTAACAGAGCTAACTAGGAAGTAGCATGTTCTCCCTGGTGGTGCGGCTGTTCCCTTTCCTGCTTGGCATGGTGGTGTGCGCGTTTACGACGCAAAACTACAGGGTCCCCAACATCCGGGGCCTCGCCGAGAGCGGCATCGATGATGCCAGGCGCTACGAGGAGGCCTGCTGCAGGAAGCTGGAAGCCTTCTACTTCTAACGCCGATGCCAGAATCACCGGGGATGCGAGGAAGAAGAAGGCCGCTGCGGTACTGGACATGGGCGACGAGTAGTAGTTGCTGCTGCTGCTAGGGACGTTTCATGTTCCGTGTCTAGATTAATTAAGTTTCGGTAATCTACGTTTCATGCTCTAAGTTTCGGTAATCTACGTTTCATGTTCCGTGTCTAGATTAATTAAGTGTCGGTAATCTCTGGGGCTGGTGAAATATATGTGTAATTAAGTTGAATAATAATACCAATGCTGTGTTTGGATCGAGCACGGCCGATGAACACCAACTTTTCTTGTATTTCGTTGATTTTCTTTTGAGATTCGATTCGATGGTGTTTTTTCTGTTAGGATTGAAACACCTAGTCATGCGGGACTGGACTCGCGCGGCGAAGTCCATGTGTCAGACGGTAAGAAAGTTGTGTTCGATTTGGTACGATCTTGTCGTCCATGCTGGTGGAGCCTGAATCGATGAGTTTTGAGGACGGCGCCACTTGAACCGGCTCTTGTGCGAGGGCTTAATTGCCGCATAAAACGCTCCACACGTAGACTACCCATCCTATTAAGCGACGCTAAAATATGTTTTCCATTGTAGATTAAGATTTTTTTTAGAGGCACTTATTGATATGGTATTTTTCTCTCTCCCTCTAACTACTCTATAAGCACCTATGCATGAACAGGCCCTTAGCAAAAGTCGTTAGGGGAAATAGGCAGAGAGATTTTGGCTCTTTAATACTACTAGGCTGCTGGTCCTCTTTTTGTTGCTGCAGCAGATTTTGAGAGGCAAATAAGTTCTGCTGTTGATACTGAGGCTCTGAAATTCTCGAATGTATTTCTACACATCATGGAACCATATGTGAATGGCTTCAGCTACCAGTCATCCATTAATGCAAATTCACATCCTATTGGTATTAACACACTACATCCACCTTTTTTTTAATTATGTTCTTTCTCCGATACTCCATTGCTTATGTTCCATTTGTTTACCAACAGGACCCGTCGTCATGCCCCAGCTACTACTTCCAATCTCACTACGAGAAGTATCTCTGCGCTAAAGGCATATGGGGAACTGGGAGTCAATGAACCAACTGCGGCTAGCCATAGCAACTCTCTCACGTGCAATAAAAGCGAGCAACAATTATATATTTTATTTAATTACGTTAATTAGGATTCAAATTCAAGACCTCTAGTTTTTATACCATATTGAGTTGCATGCACCGACCAATTCAACCCAAAAGCTTAAGCCAATAGGGAGAGGTGGGCAATTCACACTAGTACAGAAAATATTTTTATTGACAGCCAATAGTGATCTTTAGAGACAGTTTTAAAACCGCTACTATGCCAACAATTATAAAAATAAGTAATTTTTAGAGGCGGTTCTCTTAAGACAACCGCCTCTTAAATAAGTCTACCATTCCTAAAAATAATTTTTATTTTTTTCAAAAAATCATTTAGAGTCTAAAAAAATAAGATTTTTTTTTGTAATGTAGCCCAAAGGCCTAAGGACCGGCCACAACTCACATGATTTATTTTTCACTTGTTTTGAATAAGTGCCGACACCTAGGATTCGAACCCACAACCTCTCCCTCGCACAATCCCTCTCGTACTACCGTACCACACACTCACTTATGTCTAGTTATACGATACTATCTATTTGTACTAATATGTAAGAATCTTGTAATCAATATTTTAACTCATAAACAATTTTCAATGAGAAAACTTTCAACTACAAAGTTTTAGATCTCGTTGAGCACTACAACTTTGATATAGAACATTTCTCCATCCAATGTCATTTGAAAAATTCAAAAATTTGAAATTCAAAATCTGAGACTTAGTTTATATATTTAGAACCCTAAATGATCTCAAACAAAAATTTTATCAACTAAAAAGTTTTAGATCTCGTCGACCTCTATAATTTTGATATAAAGTTTGTCTTCATCCGACTTCATTTAAAAAAGATATGAATTTATTTGTGTTGCAACTATTTTTAAGGTTAGTCAACCGTCTCTAAAAATCGATTTTTAGAGGTGGTTGTCTTAAGAGAACCGTCTCTAAAAATTACTCATTTTCAGAGACGGTTGACATAAGCAACAGTCCTTGAAAAAAGCATTTTCAGAAGCGGTTCTATTAACGAAACCACCCCTAAAAATGGATATATTTTTAGAGGCGAATTTCTTAATGGAACCGTCTTTAAAAATTGATTTCTAGCCATTGTTGTATAGCTACAGTGCCTCCCGCGAAGGTTAATGACGACGTGCTAAGACAACCGCTGCTGTTAGAAAGGGGAGGCACCTCTAAAAATCATTTATGTACTAGTGTCACTTATATTCCAACAATAGAAAGTATTTTCAGAGGTGAGCCCTTTTTATTATTAATAGAGCCGGAGGACCCACACATATTTGTTAGTATATATAGGACCTATCTTTTCTATCAATATTTTGTGATCTTTATTGTACGTATTGGATATTTTAATCACCAAATAATCTTTAATGGTAAAAATCAACTAAAAAGTTTTAAATCTTATCAAGCACTACAATTTTGATATAGAAGGTGTCTCAATTCAAGATTGTTTAAAAAGTTCAAAAAAATAAATATCAAAATAGATGAGAACTTAAAGCATATATTTGGGGTTAACTACAAACTTGTACATCGGATTGACCACTATAACTTTGGTATTAACCATGTCAACGTTCAAGGTTATTTGGAAGTTCTAAAATTTTTAATTTCAAATTCTAGGAACTTAAAACACATATTTGGGATTATAAAAAACTTCAAATCAAAACTTGTCAACTATAAATTTGTAGATCCTATTGAAAACTACAACCTTGTTATAGAACATATCAACATTCAAGATTGTTTGAAAATTTAAAATTTCAAAATTCTAGAATTTAAAACAAACTTTTAGGACTCTAAACAGTTTGGAATAAAAAACTTATCAACTATAAAGTTATCGATTACGTCGTTATCGTCAACAACTTTAGTATAAAGTTTATCTTCATTCGACTTTATATGAAAAAAGTTATGAAATTTTTTATGTCTTTAGAGTGCTGCCTCTGTTAATCGATTTTTAGAAGCACCATCCTTAGAATGTCCACATATGTTAATAGCTATTTTCAGAGGTAGCTTTTCTAAAAATAATTAATAGAGGCGTACGTTTACTTGTAGCCCGTCAGAATATTTATAGAGGTGGCACTACCAAATACCTGCCTATCAGGGGCATGCACTACCGGAAACAGTGACTTTGTCGTGTGCCACAGACACTCGGTAAAAGATTTACCAAGTGTAACACTCGGCAAACAGCACACGACATCTACAGTGTCGGCAAACGCCTCTTTGCCTAGTATTTTCTATCGGACACTCGGCAAACACTTTGCCGAGAGCTAAAACCGACGCTCGGCAAAAAAAAGTAATGCGACGGCGTAGAGACGGTCATGGCGCCTTTGCCGAGTGTCAATTCCCAGACACTCGGCAAACTTGCATCCTTTGCTGAGTGCCAAATCCTAGACACTCGACAAAGCTTCCTCATTTTGCCGTGTATCAAATTCTAGGCACTCAGCAAAGCTGTCTCCTTTGCCGAGTGTCAACTCCCAGACACTCAGCAAAGATTCCTCCTTTTGCCGTGTGTCAAACTCCCCGGCACTCGGCAAAGTTTCCTTGTTTATCGAGTGTCAACTCTGAGACACTCGGCAAATGCTGGCCCAGAATATACTAATGTTGGCTTCTTTGCCGTGTGTCACAGCGCAGACACTCGGCAAAAAAGCCATTTTAGTCTCAGAAAGCACAGATTTTTGCCACGTGTCCCTCTTTGCCGAGTGTATTTTCATGGCACTCGGCAAATAGGGCTTTTGCCGAGTGTAACACTTGGTAAAGCAGCCACAAATAATCAGTTTATTTGTTTCGGTCATAGCCATGTACCACATTCAAATAAACATTATATCCATCACAGATAGTTCACAATAGGCATCACAGACAGTTCATATAGATATATTGACAACACATTAATGTAAATAAACTTTAGAATCACTAGTAGGTTCATTCATAACCATAAATAATCACAGGTAATCCACAAATGCAAATGCAAATAAAATCACAAGTAGTCACTTAGGCCACGAGTTCCACTACGACCACGCTGGGTCATGAGGCTCATTCGATGTCGCCGATTGATGTTGCACAAAGGAGAAGAGATTGCATGTGTGAGTCAAGATTGCACAAAGGAGGAGATTACTGCACAACTAGTTGGCATCTTTGTAAGAATGATTCTGCATAAATTAGAAACGGTGATTATAAGGTTGTAAAGCGACTCATAGTGCCTCAAACAGTGTTTGGAGCAGGTTGAGGAGGAGGGACTGGCATCAGTGGTGGAGGTTGACCGATTGCAGCGTAAACACCCCTCATATATTCAAACATCTACAACTCCATCCTCAACCGCTCTGCCTCCATCCTCTATCGCTCTGCCTCCATCCTTTGCCGCTCTGCCTCCATCTTCGCCTCTAGCTCCTCCCGGTGCCTCGTTTCTTGTTCCAGCTGAGTCTACAATATTTCATCCCAATGTTATAATACAATGCAAAAGTATGTAAAAATGAATGAACGATGAATAAAATAGAAATAACCTGGAGTGCGTTCATCTAGAACCATGTAGAGTCCGGCTGTGGGCGTATCGCCGGACTAGAACCCGTGCTCCGTGCTCGAATCTGGGAGAGAGTGGGAGTACTGGCCGTATCGATTGTGCCATCACCAATCTAGAACCGGCCATGCTTCTTGCCTCCTCCCGCCCTCATGACCACTTCTCCATCAAGGTCATGGACGCTCATATCGTACTCTGGGCCATGGACCACCCTTGCCATCGATGTGTATCCATCGAGGCGGCTATGGATGGACTCATTGCTATACGCCGAGGGCGGGTCCTCCGGGTTGTAGGCGATGTCGGACATCACCTTCCCCTTGTGGGCCAAACCATATGCCATGAACTAGGAGCAAGGCTCGCCGCCATGTGCCGCCGACTGCAAAAAAAACAATATGATTAGAAATTATGCAGAGTTGAGCGTTAGAATAAAGAAATGAATTCGC